ACAAGTTGCTGAGCTTCACCAACATCTAGCGCGTGGTGACGACGCGCGGCAACGGCGAAAACCAGAGCGCGACCCTGATTGAGACAAATGGCTTACATGTCCAGTGGCTTGCCTCTTCAGATTTTGCACCTTTTGATGTCATCAAACGACTAACTCAGATCGCGCATGTGGCATTCGGCTTTTTCCCGCATCTAGGCCTGGCTTTTCGCAGTGTGTGCTGTTTTTTTGATGGAACAACCAACTTTAATAGGTTTTCGTTGCGCAGGTTGACAGTTTAGGGGGGAGGGGTGTTGAAGGTTGGGGTTGGGCGGTTGGAATTGGCTAGAACTGGGCGGTGGAGATTGGTCCAGGCGGACCACTAGATTTCGCAGAGCTGGGTCTTAGGTAGAACACTGCAGGAAGCATACGTGGGAGAGAATGCGGGTTTGACTCGATGTTAAGCGGCATTTTGAATTTTCACCTCGTCCAACCTATTCAAGACCTCGTACATATTTATGTTTTCATGGATTCGTGTTGTGTGATGTACGCAACATACACTCCAATGCAACAAGTGCACAATGCAACATGTGTGTGACATTGATACAGCTTTCAGTGTGTTTATTAGCCTTCGCTACAAACCTTGTGGAGCCATTCGAAAAATTCCCGGGGAGGGGCTGGTGATGGATGTTTCCTTCAGTTTGATGCCAGCCGTTTGACTCGACAGGAGTTTAAGCAGAAGTTTGCGAACCACGACTGCAGTTTGCAGGACCCGGGTCAAGAAAAGCCATCCAATCCGCCGGGGGATCTCGGAAGGGCCAGATGCACCAGTAGCTCTAATCTGGCTGGGCAGAGCCAGTTCTTTGCACGGATGTTTTACCGGCAAACGTACAACTTCTATGAAAGAGGGCCCCAAAACAGTCACATTAAAGAGGATCAGGGCCTCTTGTGCGCAACACCCCTTGTGTGCCCTTACTTTTGTGTGAAGAAGTTATCTTAAATTTGATGGTTTGGGGACGACTTGCAAAATGGATTTCGCAGATCTGAGGCCTTTACCAATTTAAGCTGGGAAGAGCGTGGTTAGGTGAAGCACATTTAGAAATACAAGGTTAAGGCTGTAATTTGGGAAGACCAGCAACCAAAAACACAGTTGGACACTAGGCACTGTTTTTTCCCAGCAAGAAACACCGGTCCACAATATGTGCACAGTAAAGGACTCCAAAATAGTCACCGGATCCTGAATTAGGAAAGACACTTTCTACAATGGAGGCCCCAATTACAATTGGAGGTCAAACATTACTCACTCATCCCAATCTCCCTCACTTGCTCCATCACCTCAGCTGGTCCTGTATCGAGTCATCCTGTTATGGCTCTTCCGTCCCAATGTGGATCCACATAGTCAATATCACCACTAAAGCTTGGCACGTGGGGCTATCCGGTCGTTCATTTCTGTGCCAACCATGTCTACGCCCCGCCCCATGACGCCATTAGTTATGACCCTAAGGTGAGCGGCCAAGATCCTTATTGACTTTAGCAGGTTCTTATACATCTCAAGCTCACATAATTATTTAGCAGATATTCCGAAATAGTGGTTTATAGCAAAGCCTACATAATTCTCCACAATGTTGGTATCTCACTGGAGTTTCAGGGGCCTCTGCTCAGGTTTTCAACTGTCAAGGGTCCCGAGCCAGGGGTTGTGACCTTGGCACCTATCTTGCTGAGCAGTCCTCAATTGTTTGGCAAAATCGGTTTCCCAGACTTGAGGTGGTCTCCTTTCTCTCCCGTCATCCCGAGTCACCTTTCGCAGGGCGAGACCTTGGTCCAGATCATGATGGCCTGGCTCATGTTGACGCAGCTTGGCGAGACACGCTGCCAGGGGAGGGGGCTTTGGAGGTGTCTTTTGGGGTTTGGGGGGGGGGGGGGTTGGGGGATGTTGGGGTTGGATGGTTTGGGGGGATTCGTGAGGTTTTACTAGTTGTTTTTTCTTTTTCTGTTTTTTTTCCAGTTTTAGTGTTCGTCCTTTTTTTGGTTGGCGGGGGGGGGGGGACATTGTTGGTGCGTTTTGGGTGGTTTTAGAGTGTTGTTTGAGGGTTCTCTTCAGGGGGGCCAGAAGGGACCTTTGCATCAGCAGACCCGGGGATTGAGGGCACCCTTTTTGGGTTGGTTTAAGGGGAAACCCAAAGGAAAACCATTGAGTTGGAGAGTTCCCCTATTTTGCACACATCTATTATCCACTTTCCCCTTACAAACAAGTATGGGAGGTTCCTCTATTTTGGCACAAACCCCAAACTTGGGTTTTTCAGGTCGCCACTTTCTGATGGCCAAGGGAATCCGATCCCTTTAAGCGAGTCATGGGGATGGCCCGCGTCGCAAGGGCGATTTTCCAGAGCCAGGTTCGACCCCGGGAATTTGGGAAGGTTTTTCTGTTTGACAGGAGGGTAGTGTCTCAACTTGAAGGGACTGGGTCATATTGAGCCCATTGTTGCTTATGATCGAGGGATCCAGACCGAATCAAATGCGGGGGTCGTTTTGCACCCAATTTGCAACTGTGTAGGTGATGTGAGATGAAAAAGTGAAATAACCGATTAAAGACATGCACAAAAGCCATACTGATTGTGAGGTCCGGTGAGGCAATGCGTTCGATCACTCTTGTTGTGGCTGTGAAAGTTAAGCAAAAGGATGTTTCAAGTTTACTCTAGGGTCGTGATGCTGGGAATCTAATGGGACCGCCATGTTGAGGGTGCAACCTCAAGACTGGGCGGCCTTTCCCTGCCGTCTGCGTGATGACCAATGGCTCAATGATTTTGGAGTCCATACCCCATCGCTCATGCTACGTTCGGAATGGCAGTGGGGACCGTTGGCCTTTGATTCCCTTTAAAGCCCAACAACAGAGAGGCTTTGGGATGTCCTGAAGCCAGTTGGACAAAAGAGTCTGTCAGGCTGAGCAACAAATGCGACCGCACAAAACGGCAGCCGAACAGCGTGTCCTCTTTGGTTTGACAGACACCTAACCTAAGTATGAAACATAATCCGAAATTGTTGATTTCCTTTGCAGCCTGAAGGTGGACCAAGGAATCAATCTAACTTTGCGCCAAGTGAAACTTCGGCTCAACGACCAAACCAATAGCAACCTCAGCAAGGATTTGGGTGTGCGACCAATTCTGCGGATGACGGTTCCCGTCCAAAGCATCCCTTATTGCAGGTTGGATACGCAACGTTAATTGTATGTCCAGTTCTGGTAGCTTCAAACGTCTCCGCTTGCTAAAAGTGAGTTTCCTTTAGGTATGGAGTGATGTTCAAAGGGGAGACATGGGAGCCGTCTTATCCGCAAGTCTTTTGCCAGAGGGTCAAAGAAATCAACAAAACACCAACCCAAACGGGACTAACCCAAACCAATAACGTCAAATGGACAAGCAACAAAGCAACCGGACCAAGAACCCAAGAAACAAACAGCACGATAATGTCTGATTGGAAGTGCGGTTGTGTCTTTGGCGAATGATGATTAGTTGGGGTCCCCACCAACCAAAGGTGCAAGAGACCTGTTTGTCCTGGTCGGGTGTTGGTGCAGTAGTGATTTGGTTTTGCTTTGTTTGAGTTGTTGGCTCCGTTTGTGCTTTGGTTTGGCTTGGTTTGGCTTGGTTTGGTTTGGTTTCATGTTTTGTTGGTCTAGTTTGTTGGCTGCATATGCTGGTCTCATTTGCTGGATTGTTGGTTTGGTTTGTTGGTGCGACGTTTGTTTTTGTTCTTTGGCTTTGGCGCGGTTTTCTGTTCGAGGCCCCGCGTGGTACCCACCATGAAGCGAGCCCCGGCACGTTTGGGACTCCCGCACCTGCTGTGAGCCGCTTGCGGGAGGGGGGCTTCTGTTTTTTTCTTCTTTTTTTTCTCGAATCTCAGCAAATCCAGCTACTCGCTCCCTGCCTGAACTTGTTGGAAAGACCATTTTCGTGGCAAGCAACAAGTTTGGACTGTTTCCGGCCCGGAAGCGAGGCGTTTAACGCCGAACTAATTTGGATAAGTCCCTTGAGGCATTCCTGTGGCTTTCAATGCAATTTAGGTCACACTTCAGTGCAACAGTTTATAGTTATGGCGACAGGGGTGAAAACTTTAAGGGGCAGGGTACTTAGTAAGTGGATAGTAAGCCTGGTTATATCCCACTCAGGAGACTTATAACCATGGTAAGTGGGGGGACACCGAGGGTGTCGGTTGAATCCCCGCTCGAAGGGAAGGTGTTTGACGCACAATGACCGCGTCTTAGAACGGGCGGCCTGCCAGTTGGTTTCCCCTTAAAGGCAGCAAGGGGGTGTCGCCTAAAAAGGGGACATCCAAATATAAGGCCAAACCAGCCACACACAAATACACACACATTCTCTGGGTGCTTCGTAGGTTTGCAGAGGCCTGTCAAAAAAAAAGTGGATACCCCTTAGGGCTTGGAAGGGCTGCTGGTGTTCTCTCAATCTGAGGCCTCCAAAAGAATCTGACGGGATAATTCTGCGCACAGAACACACATAGCTGCCGCAAGGAAACCCAACGTGCCGTGAACCAGTTGGGTATGAAACATTACAGAGGGCTTGGGGTTGCTTGTTCCCCACCAGCGCATTGTTCGTGTCCAGATCAAGTGCTTTGTGGGTTTGCTTCAAACGGAAGACAAGCCGTGACACCTTTGTCTGCAGCCCACAGGATGCGCTGCTTGTTGTGTGTTGTGCGGCTTATGAATTGTGATTTGCTGTTCTTGATTGGTGTTTCGTGTTGCCTTCACTTGATTGTTTGTTGGTTTGTCTGTGTTTGTTTGATTGGTTGGTTACTTGTTGTGTTAGTTTAAGAGAAGTTATTGATTTAGTTAGTTATGGTGTGTGTTATTTATTTATTTTCTTATGTTGTTGTTTTCTTTGTTTGACAATGTGTTTTGTTTGTTATTTATTTCTGTATGTATTGGCATTCATCTTCTTTTGCGCGGTCTTCCAGTCTTTAACGAAATATTTACTTGCTGGATCCTAGATTATTTTCTAGCCTTTGTTTCCTTCTTTCTTTGGGTTGGTTTGTTGGTGGTCTGTTCCTTTCTTCGGGTTGGTTTGTTGGCCGGCAGGCCTGGTCGCCGGTTCTATGTTTCTAGCCCACCTTTTTTTTTGTCTGTTTTTCTCGTTGGCGCATTCCGCAAGGAATGAGGGGATCACCCCAAACCATCCAACTGGTGGTTTCCTCGGCGGATTTTCCGAGCCATGCTCCGGCTACGGGCAGCGCAGCGTGAAGGCGCCCGCGGGTCCGCCGGCCAGTGGGGTGGCTCCTGACGTGGCCCAGTGGCCCTCCGCCCCTTGTTCAAACTTGCTTTGGGGTAGAACGAGCCAAAGCCATGGTCAAATGGGTCGTTTACTTGCCCAGCGGCGCCCCTTTGTCCTTTTTTTGGGGAGGTTCAAACTCGGGCAACCCAAAAAGGAGGCCGATTCTTTTTCCATGATTTTTTTTCACTGGGCGTTTGAGTTGATTTTGACGGGTTTTGGTGGACAACTTGGGGGTTCCTGTGTTTGTTTTTCCAAGTGGCCTTTTGAGGAGTCAAAACCTACGAAGTTGGTTGAAGACCCAAGAAATGTGCAATTTTAGGTGGTGGTTCGGTTCCCACCTGGTTTGATTGGAGTTTACAGCTAGTCCATCCCTGTTTGTCCAGACCCAAAGTCGATGAGTTCTGGGCACCCTCGAAATAGCACAAAAGGTGGAACAGGGAAGCAACCCGAGTCCGTTGGGTCCTCTATTTTGACCCATGTCGGATGTCGAATCCAGCATTTGGGAGGGGCATGGCGAACTTACGAAGTTTGCCGCCCAAAAGCACTAGGGGCACTCACTGATGTGCCATCAATCGGCCTCTTTTGGGGTTGGCTGGGTTCTACCGGTAGAATCGGGAACAAACAAGGAAGCATCCAAGCCCCCCACAGCAGAAGAAGAAGATGAAGAAGCAGAAGAAGAAGAAGAAGAAGAAGAACAGCAGCAGCAGAAGCAGCAGCAGCAACAACAACAACAACAACAACGCCAACAGCAGCAGCAGCAGCAGCAGCAGCAGCAGCAACAGCAGCATTCAACGCAAGTATAAAGTAGCACCACACGCTTCACAGAAGGGTGGCATACAACAGGCTGCTGAGACAGTCAGAGCCAGCACAACTCCAACCAAGACACAGAATGTCCAGGGCTATTCCCGGGCCAGCACGTGCGGGCGCCACGCCGATTCTGATTGACGCGCTCGGGTCCGTTGGCGTGCCGATTGACTACAGTGCCCACAGTCCCATTTTGGGCCCTTCCCCCCTCCCCCCCCAATCCACCCACAATTTAGGTTTCCTTTCCGTGTTCTTGCCTTTTCCCTATCACGCTTCCTAGTTTGTTTGGATCTCCTGTCTTCCTCTCGGCATCTTTGCCCTCGCTCCCGGTTCGGGTTCCCTCCTTCCTTTCACCATTGCTTCCATCTTGCTCCTTTTTTCCCATCTCTTCCTGCTTCCTCGCACCCGCGCCGGCGAAAGCCAGCGAGATGATGCAGTTCCTATACAGAACCCAGTCCTTAATGCCCCGAACACGCTATCGGAGCGGCGGATGTCATCAACTACCAGATGCCCAGCCAAGCATCAAGCAGTCCAACCGTGCAGTAGAAAGTCACCTCGCTCAATTGAATAGCTTCGCATATGTCTGTAAATGTTAGACCCATGTTGGACCACAAGTTTCCCATAGCTAAGTTAAGGTTGAATCAACCACTTTGCTATACCAAGGGTTTATAGATTGGGTTCATCCCGTCAGCCTTAGTAGCAACACTGCACACACTTCCAATGTCCCCCCAAAAAAGCTGTTTGCCACACAGGATTGCGCGATGGTCTCCTGTACCAGCAGCTCTTGCGTCAGCTGCTCGAGGGCGAAGGCGCGGAAATCTTTTCGAGGGCCAACGGGGTGCGTGCACCCAGACTCCCCCAAACCCCTCAAACTGCAAAACCCCAACCGTAAGCCTCCAGCCCCAACCCCTAACCTTAAACCCAAACCCCAAAACGCGCACCTCTTCCCGAGTTCCACCTCATCGTCTTCAAAAAATGGTTCCCCTGGGAAAATGAGCGCCTAAGGATAACCATGGGTGAAGAATGAGGAAACCCTCAGAAAAAAAACAAACTCCCAAACCAGAATTGAGTGAAAGCCTAGCAAGGCCATTTATCAGGGGAATCGGTGAGCTCCGTCGATTTTGCCCAAAACCAGTAGTGTATGCGGTGTGCGTGTTGGGCTTCCCTGTGTTTCCCTGGTCTTAAGTCTTAGCCCACATCAGGCGGACACCGAAAAGAAAAACTTCAGATCGCGAATCATATTCAGCATGTGCCATCTTTTGGCTGGCAGCACGTCCTGTTCCAGCTTTTTGGGGTCCAAGCATTTTGTTGGTGGGCCCCGGCCGTGCTTTCTTTGACAGGAGCCTAGTGGCTGCCTTAACCCCAGGGACTGAAGCTAAACGATACCAAGGTGGCACACACCGTTCTCTATTTTTCTGACTGTACTTCCCATTTCATGGATCCGTGCCCTCAGAAAACAATCAAACTCTGGAATGCTGGGTGAAAAGACTGGGTTTGCTCAATTGTGTTTCTATTTGAATGATGAGCCTTCAACTGGGTGGCTTCCCGTTGATTCCCTTAATAGGGTTTGAAAGGAGAAGTCGATGGTCAATCCACGCGGGGGCAAATCAGAGGGGCCTCCGAATTGCCATGTCCATGGTTCACTTGTTTTGTTTCCGGATATTTTCCTGGCTTCTTTTGAACAGTTCCTTTGGTTGCGTGTTTTTTGAGGACTGTTCTTGTCTAGTCTAAAAGGTCCCCGGAAAGGAGCACTGTCGAACCTGCACGCTTTGGTCCTTGTTAGTATGTGTTTCTGTATTTTTCGACTATTGTCTTAAGCCCCCCAAAAACATCATATCATGTGACACTCATGCGGGCTGAAGCATCCTCAAATCTCGCCACGACCATTTTGTGTGAGGTGTTGGCCAAACTCAGCCGGGTTTTGCCGGCAGGGGAAGGGTATGTGTGAAAGGAGACAGGACGAAATTGGGTTCACATCCCTTGGCCGCATCCCCAACCAACTTGTCAAGGAGAGCATCAATGGCAGGCTGGCCGGTTCGCAGGGCTCGCCGGGGAAAACTTCTACGCCGGAAGCTCTTACGGGAAATCTTTGCCCAAGCCCTTTTTTTAATACATAGCGTTTGTGCTCCCAGCGACGTGAGTGGTTTTCTTTGACCATTTTTCCATCACAAATCCCATCGCCACCAACACCCGCTCTCTTTTTTGATATGACTCACAATCAGAACCCGCAAGATTGGAGGGTAAGCGAGTATCCCAGCCACAAATGGGTGCGGTTACCTTTTCAACTTTTTACATGGTTCTGGTAGGGCCATGTTAGTCCCGGGTTTTGATTTCGACTTATACATGTGTGTGTGTATCAAATGAACCCTGCCTGCCAAAGTCCGGAGCGCTTTCCTTTTTGTTTCCCTCACCAAACTGAATGATTGTTCGTGTGGTGGATTGGTTGAAATCAAGGGGCTTCCGTATTGAGGGGTCTTGGCAGCAACCAACTTTTGAGGCTTTTAGGTCAAAGCTTTGGGTAGACGTCCCACCAGATTTCGCTGAGGGTATGGGTGAAACCCGCCCAAGGAAAAACGAGGGGGGTGTTTCAACCCTTTCTGGGGCGGTTGGGAAACCCACAATTTGTGGGGTTCTCCTATTCTGACACATTCCCATGATCCTCAGTTTACCAAGTCGCTTTCGGCCAAAAGTCTGGATATTCTCCGAAGGATGATTTAACTGGAATAGGTTCAGCCAAAGCTGAACTTAGGCAAAGCCTCAACCCGAACGAGCGCTTCTGCAAGACAACAGAGGGATCCAACATCTCAGGAAGAGTGGAGGCTTGTATTTTTCGGCAACCCTTGCCTTCGCCAAGGATTGAAGATGCACAGGAAAGGTTTGTCCCACTTGGGGTGGGGGATCTTGGGGTTGGTGTTTGGTCAAAAAGGGTACCCTCAAAAAGCTCACAGTCACCTTCTAAGTAGAGGATTTGTTTTTGTCACCATTTCTGTCTTGTCCACCCAACGTTGGGTGGAAGCACGGGAACGAGCCACCAGCCCCTGGCCCACTGCAGGGGAAACTAAACAGACGTCGTTGAAGCAGTTTGGTGACTGAGAATTTTAGTCTTTGTTTGAGTTTGCAAGATTCTTATGACACATCTGAGCAACGCATCAACGACCCACTGAGAAGCCAAATGTCACCCGCCTTGAAGCTTCATGGTTTTAAAACATGGCTTTTACCACCAAGCCACCATAATTGTTTCAACATCAACCGGGCACCCGTAACTCTAAGATGTTTCCACTAATGACCCCCCTGCCACTATCCCCAATTGGGACAATTTTTATATAGCCCTTATATAGTTGCTTCATAGTGACATAGGTGCATTTTCCCTTTTGGGGTGGTTTGGGGGTGGAAACCATAGAATCAACGCAGGCACAGCTTCAGCTGAAGCGGGATGTCTTAGAGGACGAGCTGCTGCAAGTCTTTCCACCACTACCCAGCGCAACTTGGAACTTGGGATCTGGCTGGGTTGGTTTGGTTTGGCAAGATCTGGGATCTTGTTGCTTTCCAGGGACACTAAATACGGACCGAGATCAGACACACGTTTGATTGCTTGTCCGTGTCTGTGTGTGTTTGTGTGTTTGTTTGCTGGTTTGTTTTGGGGGGGCCAAGAGCTGCATTGTTTTGCCTAGCTCTTTTCCTAACTCTCAGTTGCTCAGTGGGTTCGAGTCACAGACACGGAATCACAGACTGGTGTTTTCTCTTGCATCTCTTGCATGTGGCAATCTAAAGAGTTTTCAACCGCATTCCAGAAGCGTTGGATTGTTTGTAGTGTTTGTTCTCTTCGGATTCAATGTGTTGGAAGGGTCGGGTCCTTTTTGATTTCTTTGCTCGGGGTTTATGGAGGCTCGGCCAGCACAAGACATTATGAGCCCAGAAATGTTGGAGCTTCTTTCAGCGACACAGTGTTCCGTATTGGTCGATCTCTCCGAGCCGCCCTGGAGATCCTGTCTCAGGGACTTGTGGGCTTCCACCTTCAACACCCCTTTCTGCTTGGTGACTTCCATGCCAAAGCTGAGTTGCCTTTTTTCTTTTAGGGGAACCCTCCCAAAAAACAAAATCAAAAAAATCAACAACAACAACAACAACAACAACAACAACAACAACAACAACAACAACAACAACAACAACAACAACAACAACAACAACAACAACAACAACACAACACAACACAACACCAACACAACACCAACAACAACAACAACAACAACAACAACAACAACAACAACAACAACAACAACAACAACAACAACAACAACAACAACAACAACAACAACAACAACAACAACAACAACAACAACAACAACAACAACAACAACAACAACAACAACAACAACAACAACAACAACAACAACAACAACAACAACAACAACAACAACAACAACAACAACAACAACAACAACAACAACAACAACAACAACAACAACAACAACAACAACAACAACAACAACAACAACAACAACAACAACAACAACAACAACAACAACAACAACAACAACAACAACAACAACAACAACAACAACAACAACAACAACAACAACAACAACAACAACAACAACAACAACAACAACAACAACAACAACAACAACAACAACAACAACAACAACAACAACAACAACAACAACAACAACAACAACAACAACAACAACAACAACAACAACAACAACAACAACAACAACAACAACAACAACAACAACAACGCCCCGAACCGGCATAATGCCGCGGCCATGAAGGGACAAGCCAGTTGAAACCTCACGAAACCCTGCAAATAGCGGTGTTTTTCGCTGTTCCATCCATCAAAAGTAGCTTTTTGTCAACCCTCTATTTTTTCAAAAATCGAGGGTTTGCGACAGCCCTTTCAGCAAAAAAAAGGTTCCCGGAAAAAGTGTTTCAACAAAGGGGTTGGTTTGGTCAAGGGATGACATGTCCACCTCAGCACATGCGTCTTGCCACACTTTCTCACAAACAAAAACATTGCTCTTCCCCAAGAAAAAACGTTTCAACCAAGGGGATGTCTGGCACGAACAAGAACCACTTCAAGCAAATGCCAGAATCTTGCAAACATGTTTGGCTGCCTCCGTGTCCCACCAAAGCGGCGCATCAAATGTTTTCATCCGTCTACTTCCTCGGGCGCTCATAGAATGTCCCAGGGTTTTTCCTGGTCAAAAATGTCAAAGGGGTTCACGCCAATCCTATCCAGATTGTAGTGCTTGAAGAGGGCGAAAGCAGCGAGCAACTGCGACAGCTCGCCATGCGACGCCTGCCATTGGCATGCCAAAAAGTTCCTCGTGGCACAACCAGCAGTGGACCTGCCAAGCCAGTTTTGGCGTCTTAGGGCGTTCTTTGCGTGCGTGAAGCAATTTTCTGCACAATTGTCCCCCCCAAGGGTTTTGAACCCTCGGGAGGACTCCACAAACACTGCATGTTTGCGACCCCGCTTCTGGTTCTTCTCTGTAGATCTGGCAAACTTCTGCATCGTTTTGATCTGGTCCTTCGTGAGGTTCTTCTTGTGCAAGGTCACCAGCGGCGTGAACACTTCTGCGCTGTGTTTGGCTGAAGAGCATGCAAAGCCAAGTTTCTTGCACGTGGTCTGGATTGCATGCCCTGCGTCTGCCCCCACATAGCATCCTTTGCCGATGTGCTTGGCCATCGCCGAGTGGATCTCCTCTATGCGCTCGGGCGGACCAGGCGCGCCCTTCGTCAAACGCCTATTTGGCAGTGGGACCCAGACTTTGTCTCGGGAGTCGCGGTCTCTGATGACAAAGACCCGCCCTGCGTGCACCGTCTTCTTGATCGCCAGCGGCTTCCTGCGCTTGGCCGGGCGAGGCACGTCTTTGGACCCCAGAGATCCACCTTTTTGAAAGCTGGATTTCTTTCTCTTCTTTCCATCTTTGTGGCGACTTGTGCCTGTGCCATCCACATCCAGAAGAGCTGCGCTAAACTGCTTGTTCTCCTGCTTCTCCAACAAAGTAAACGCAGCCACAACTGCACAGCAAGCGTAAATGTAGCGCACGTTCTTGAAGAAAGCATTCTTTCCGGTCTGACACTCCACCGAAGCGCAAGCGCTGTCCATCAGGATGCGCGCGCAGAACGAGCAGAGCAGCAGAAGCATCTGCTTGAAGGTGACGGCTGGCTGGTTGGAGCGCCTCATGGATTTGTAGAACGGGGTGTAGCTGTACATGCAGTTGCCCAACCGCTTATCGCAGTCCCGGTTGGAACAGCGCAGAGTAACGTTCTCGCTCTTGGACTTCTTCTCTGCATTGTGATACGAAGAGCCGCAGCTCCAACACGTGCGTGAAGTCTTTCTGGCAAAAAAGTTGTGCTCGCGCAAGTACTTCCTGCACGCAGCGTCAGTCCACGAGGCCACAGCTTCAAGCCCTGGAGCAGCAGGATTCTCCTTCCACACACGCGTGGCTTTGACCTCTGAAGGCGCCAGCTGCAATCGGAGTTTTTTGTGATATGCTGACGGTTGGTCTCTCGCGACGCCTTCCTCGACTTTGCCGGAGGCGGCTTGCGAGACGCAGGCTTGCGCAAAACAGATCTTGGGCGCTGAAAATGTGACGACCGCAGCTTCACCATGCCTATGACAGCTGTGAGCCACTCCTGCCAGTCAAGCTCTGCAAGCTGCTGGGCAAAGAAACAGAGGGGCCCTTCCCAAAAAGAGGACCTTACAACCACGGGTGTTTTCAAAACCAAGGGTATCCGAGGTCAGACTCTGCAAGCTGCTGGGCAAAGAAACAGAGGGGCCCTTCCCAAAAAGAGGACCTTACAACCACGGGTGTTTTCAAAACCAACGGTATCCGAGGTCAGACTCTGCAAGCTGCTGAGCAAAGAAACAGCTCCGGCGCTGCTTCTGCAGCTGACAGTGCTGCGAACGCTCCCCAACAGATGCCAGCAGAGGCAAGGGGGATCCGGGTGAGACTGTTTGTCTTCAGTCCATGGTGTGAGGGCCTGGCGTTGAAAAGCCCCCAGGTGTGACGTGTTTTCTTCAAAGCAGTTGGACGTGTCCAGTTCTGCCATCGTTGCTGTTTTGCGCCGCGGTCAGGAGCCTGCCTGGCTCTCGTGGCTGCTGGGGGAAGAGGCTTGCGCCACCGCTGCTGCCGCAGTTGACACTGCTGCGAACGCGGCTGCTTCTGGGAGCGCGGCCTCTTCTGCGGGCGCAACCCCTTCCCAAAAAGAGGACCTTACAACCACGGGTGTTTTCAAAACCAAGGGTATCCGAGGTCAGACTCTGCAAGCTGCTGGGCAAAGAAACAGAGGGGCCCTTCCCAAAAAGAGGACCTTACAACCACGGCTGTTTTCAAAACCAACGGTATCCGAGGTCAGACTCTGCAAGCTGCTGGGCAAAGAAACAGAGGGGCCCTTCCCAAAAAGAGGACCTTACAACCACGGGTGTTTTCAAAACCAAGGGTATCCGAGGTCAGACTCTGCAAGCTGCTGGGCAAAGAAACAAAGGGGCCCTTCCCAAAAAGAGGACCTTACAACCACGGGTGCTTTCCAAACCAAGGGTACCCAGGTCAGGCTCTGCAAGCTGCTGGGCAAAGAAACAAAGGGGCCCTTCCCAAAAACAGGACCTTACAACCACGGGTGCTTTCCAAACCAAGGGTATCCAGGTCAGGCTCTGCAAGCTGCTGGGCAACCAGGGGTATCCAAGGTCAGGCTCTGCAAGCTGCTGGGCAAAGAAACAAAGGGGCCCTTCCCAAAAAGAGGACCTTACAACCACGGGTGTTTTCAAAATGAGGGGTATCCAAGGTCAGCCCTGCCAAGCATGTTTTTTTCTATCAGCTCGCTACCTGTGCGACCCCCGCTCAGCGCATCGCAGTGCGAACCGAACGTCCTGACGAATTGCCAAGAGATCCTCCCGAACTTGCTTCGGAAGACTCTGTAAGTCTCCGGTGTAAGCCTGATAGTGCCAACATTTGCGCTGGCCTTCGTGAAACTGCCACCACTGAGCGCATCGGAGAACTACTTTGCCCTTGTTCGGTCCCGATGCGTGACAAATTGGGCGGCGAGGCTCCTGATGGGCTGGGCAACGACCCCACTTCGTTGCAGTACGTGCAGCACCTGCAGCCAAAGCACGGAAATCATACCCGCGATTTTCCGCCCCAGCTTCTGGTGAAGAACACTCACAGCGCCCAACCTGATTCTCTAAGTAGTCGCTCTCATCACGAGCTAATGCACGCTCCACGAGGTCATCTTCCTGCGAAAGCCTGGGTCTCTGCGAGAAGGACATGCTGGGGGAAACTGATTCATTGGTGATGTCAGATTGGATCTCATCCAAACTATCCCCGTGCGCAGATGTCATAGGAGAAGGCGATAACGCCAGGCCTAGAGATGCGTCGGTGCCCTCAGTCATCCCTTCAGACTCCAAGGAAATGTCCATGTCGCTATCGACAATGTTCTCATCGCCGTCACTTACCTCTATGGGCCCGGATTGGAAA